GTGGAAGCGTGGAGTCTTAACCACTGGACTGCCAGGAAAGTCCCCTGTATGATGAATTTAGGCGTCAATTTTTTCCTTTCACATGATACTTTTATATTTGATTCTGGTTTTAAAAATGAAAGTTAGCCTAAGGAATCTCCAGTTGGCTTTTAGGAAGTGTCTATAGGTATTTTTAGCATTCCTGGCAATTTGTTATTACTGTTTCATTCTTCTAACACAGTGGTTCTCAAATTTCAGGACTTGTTAAAATATAGATTACTGTGCCCCAACCTGTAGGTTCCAGTACAGTTCGCTAGTCTGTGGTACAGCCCAGGTGATGCGGTTGCTGTGACTGCTGCTGTGGTTGGGCAACCATACTTTGCGAACCACTGCTCTAGGGTTTACAGATTCTGTTGTGTTTTTGTAAACGAATAAGCTCTGATTCATAAATTACACCAAAATAATGGTGCATGTGTCGTTTTTAACACATTTAGTGATGATTCTCAAATATTTTAAAATCTTGATGTTTTATTATCTAATGTCAAAGAACACTACTGTTTACTTTATACATCAAAGTGGTTTACAGCATATACAATTATTAATAATAAGTTAATTGTTTATTTTAACCTTCTCTGAAGGCACCTCAATATCAGGACTGGGAATCATTACTCTGAATTAAAATCGTTGGTCAGGCTACAAGCTGTTTAATACTAATTTGATGTGTAGTTTTGACTTTTAAATAGCATTTTTGAAATGACAGAATAAATATTGTTTCATTTAGTTTGGGTTTTTATTGTTGTTGTGAGCTTTGAACTATGTTTTGGTCTTTGTTAATTAGTTTGCTAGCGGTTGGCAACATCTTATCCTGACTAGTAAGGCCCTGTATCTAGAAAACTTGTACTTAATTGAGATAACACCTCCATAATTTTAATTATAGATTTTAAATTTGATAGTAGATTTCCTTTCTCCCTATCAGTGTCAGCAATCAGCATATTAGAGTCCAAAACAGACATTTTGGGGTGAATTTTTTTGTTTTAAGTTTTAAAAAAAATAATTAATTCATTTGGTTATGCCAGGTCTTAGTTGCAGCCCATGGGCTCCTTAGTTGTGGTTTGCCAGCTCCTTAGTTGCAGCACATGTGCTCCTTAGGTGTGGCATGCAAACTCTTAGTTGTGGCATGTGTGTGGGATCTAGTTCCCTGACCAGGGATCAAACCCGTGTCCCCTGCATTGGGAGCACGGAGTCTTAACCACTGCGCCACCAGCAAAATCCCTGGGGTGAATTTTTAACAGATGTGATTTAAGAAAAAACTCATGGGGACAAGTAAAGATTTTTTTTAATTAAAAAATACTCATCTGGAGTTTGTTTTAAAGCAAGCTGTGTATGTGTGTAGTATATGTATACACACATTCAGTTTGCCTTATATATGTATGTACATATGTAAATGTACTTCATGTGTGTATATTTATATGTATACATACTTATGTAAAATTCATAGCCTCTCATAGTACAGTGTTTGGAACCAGATGATAGCTATGTAAACACCAAGTTTCAAATGACCACCGCTCTCCCCAAACCCTTACCCTGCATTCTCCCCAATACTAACAACTGAAATCTCAGTATCAAAACCAGCAGCTTTCACCTGCTACAGAGATTTCTCCACTGATCATTATTATCTCTTGGACTTCACCAAATCGATAGATATTGGGAATGGCTTATAGTTTTTAGAGAGAACGTTCTTTGAGGAAAAGGGAACTGATTTTAATTTTTTAGGCATAGCTCCCATGATCTGGATTTTCTTTTCTTCTAGAAAGCAAAGGCCTTGAAAAAGAATAGCCAAGTAAACTAGTTCTTAAACTCTGCCTTGCTTCCAAGTGCCAGCTGTGGTGTACTAGGTCTAACCTGTTGTGATTTTTCTCAGATACAGGTTATTATCCATAATCTGCTTTTCTCACCTACCCTTCATCTTCTCCATAGCTCTGAGAGATCATTTTGAAGGAATAATGGATGAACCTTCTTCCTTGGCCAAACCTGTGGAGCTCAACCAGCACTCCCGATTCATAATTGGTTCCGTGTCTGAAGATAACTCAGAGGATGAGATTAGCAACCTGGTGAAGCTGGACCTACTGGAGGAGAAGGAGGGCTCTCTGTCACCAGCCTCTGTCTGCTCAGATACGCTCTCTGACTTGGGGATCTCTAGCCTACAGGATGGCTTGGCCTTACACATGAGGTAAGTCAGAGAAGTTTAATGTTTTACTTAGTTAATCTGTCCTGTTGGTTTCATTGATCTTGTTCTGAAAAGAGCAAGAATAATTTGAGCCAAGATTTTTTCACCTTTTTCTGTATCATTGGACTTTTTTTTTTTTTTTTTTTTTTTTGCGGTCCGCGGGCCTCTCACTGTTGTGGCCTCTCCCGTTGCGGAGCACAGGCTCCGGACGTGCAGGCTCAGCGGCCATGGCTCACGGGCCCAGCCGCTCCGCGGCATGTGGGATCCTCCCGGACCGGGGCACGAACCCGTGTCCTCTGCATCGGCAGGCGGACTCTCAACCACTGCGCCACCAGGGAAGCCCCCCCCCCACTTTTTTTTTTTTTCATTGGATTTTTTGATAAGTGGGAAATGATGTATTTTGCCTGGAGTGCAGGTTTTGAAAGTGTCTTTTCCTAAATGTTCCTCTAAACTTTCTCCTGTTCCTCCCACATGCTAGGTCTTTTAGTGAGACCTAGCAAGTAAGAGTGAGGAATTTCAGTCTCCGTACTACTTTGACTAACACTGCTATAACTGTCTGAAGATTGATAGGACTTTTGCAGGGGTGGGCAAATTTGTAGTAATCTTTCTTTGAACTGCTTTATCATGTCAGAAAGTTATATTCTAATTCTGGCAGGGCCAGTCTTTATTGAGGAACAAGGGGTTGTTGTAGAGCTCTCCTTTTTCTTTAGAAACACGATTCTGTACATGTAATTGAGAATGTCAGTAAATAGTAACACTAGATTATTCTTATTTATTGATGTTTGATTGAACAACCAGTGTGTGAACTTTTGGTCATTTGCTTTGCATTTCTTGGATTGAAAAGTCTGAATTAGTGGTTCTTGGTTTTTACTGTACATCGGAATCGCTTGGGGGACCTTAAGAAATGAGCCCCATCCCCAGAAATTCTGATTCAGGTGATACTGGCCTGGCTTGGAGCTGGGGCATTTTTTTTTAATGCTATTTGAGTGAGTCTAATATACAGCCAGGGTTGAGATTATTGGTTAGCCTAGATAAACATAAATTAGAGTGACTATCGCTGCTGTTATTATCTTGGTGCTTCTATAATTAATGGATCATAAAATAATTCAGCTCCTTTTTATACACTCAAGATACAGATTCTGTAGTAAAATCCTGTACTGGGTCTGGCTGAATGCGACTGTCCTGCCTATGGTTATCCCTGGGGATTTGGGGTCCTTGCTTCTGAAACATGAAGTAGTGAGTGTCAGTGGTCACCCCTGTTTGGCTACGTGGAGGTTGAAAGAAAAGAGTTCAGCAAGTTAATTATGTTTTACTTTTCCTAGAACTGCAGTGAACCAGCGAGATAATTTAGCCTAATGCCTTTTATTAAAATAGATGAGAAAACTGAGGTCTAAAGAGGGAAAACAACTTGCCTAAAGGTAAATAGCTGGAAGACTGGAATTCAAAGTTAGATGCCCGGATTCCATTGAAGTAACTTTTCTCCCCTATTTCCCTGACCATACAAGTATCTTAATTATATGACTAGTGCAGACAAAGGTGGTGTTTAGGAGTTAGTGAATAAAGTATTATATCTAATCTCTGGGCTAAAAAGAGGAATAGAAGTCAGTATTTAGTAGCAGGAAAAAGAGGTCAGGTTTTTATCTTTATGTAAACATTTTTTCTTACTTAATAGTTCACTTAATGGTTGGCCTGAAGGCTAATACTGGGGGCGGTATCCCTGAGGTCATTTGTAAATGAGTGGGGGTTGTGACTGGTGGGATTACTTGCATTGAGAAGGCCAAGGACCAAAGATTCTAAGCCTTCTGCAAAGTACTGGATAATCACACACAACGGAGAATTGTTCTCACAATGTCATGGTGCCCCTGTTGAGAAAGACATGGTGAAATCTAAATCCTTAAAGCCGCACAGCACTTGAGAAATTTGTCCAATTTGAGGCCAAGTGAAGCAGAATATCCATTCAGTGGATTATGAAATTGTGAGTTTGGCAATGGTGAGATAAATACCATTATAAGAAATTCAGCTGATGATATTACAAGGCAATTTATAGTTGCCAAATCATTCCCAAAGTTGATGGCTCTTATTGCAAAGTCTGTGGGGTCAGTGGTATGAGCAGTTGAGAATTTCTTTGCATGCCCTTCTGTTGCAAAACTCATGCCTGTAGCTTGTGGAGGAACCATGGATTGAAGTGTGATCAGCAGCCTGGGAAGGAGACAGTGCCAGTTTCTACTTGCTTCTCAGATAGCTAATGTTCCAAAACAGAACAAAGGTTCTCCATTGATTCATTTCTTTTTTTTTTAAACTTCCATCACTTTTTTTTTTTTGGCTGCATTGGGTCTTCGTTGCTGCGCACGGGCTTACTCTAGTTGTGGCAAGCAGGAGCTACTCTTTGTTGTGGCGCGTGGGCTTCTCATTGTGTTGGCTTCTCTTGTTGTGGAGCACGGGCTCTAGGCCCCCGGGCTTCAGTTAGTTGCAGCACATGGGCTCAGTAGTTGCGGCACACCAGCCCTAGAGCGTGCAAGCTTCAGTAGTTGCGGCGCATGGGCTCAGTAGCTGTGGCTCGCAGGCTCTAGAGCGTAGGCTCAGTAGTTGTGGTGCACGGGCTTTGTTGCTCTGCGGCATGTGGGATCTTCCCAGACCTGGGATCGAACCCGTGTCCCTTGCATTGGTAGGTGGATTCTTAAACACTGCACCACCAGGGGAGTCTCCATTGATTCACTTATTAAGTCACTTGTGGATATGATGTCCTTGGGGGGTAATTTAAATTGTTCCAAATTCATTTTATATATTAGAAAGGACTGTTCTGACATTTGCCACCAATTAAGTAGGTGACCACAGACAATTCATGTTACCTCTTTGAACTCATATTCCTCATCTGTGAAAATGATGATATTGATTCAGATACTCCTTTTCGCCCTTTGAACCCAAATTAAATAGAGGCTGGCTGAGTTTAGGATTAGCTCCCAGAATGAATAGTCTTAATCCTTCACAGGTGGTACAGATTAAAGAGGCAGGTACATTCTTAAAAGATGCTAACTGGAGGTCATCTAAAACCAAGTGAAGTAATTGCCATAGTATAGGATGAGAGTGGGCCCCTCTCTCAAGTTAGGGCTTTGTTTTAGGTGCTAAATGAGAAGTCTAGTGGGTGTGATGGATGAATAGGCAGAAAAAGAAAAAAGGCTTTTCCAGAGTTGGAGATAACTTGCATCACATGTTTTCTAGAGTGCCAGGGTAAGATTGGATTAATCACTCTCTAAGCTTTATGACCCAGACATTTGAAAATAATACCCTAAGAAAGTAGTTGTAGCTTGGTGGGAATATATAGGCATCATTGTAGATGACTGTGCTTTGGCTTTTTTTTCTTTTTGTGGTACGCGGGCCTCTCACTGTTGTGGCCTCTCCCGTTGCGGAGCACAGGCTCCGGACGTGCAGGCTCAGCGGCCATGGCTCACGGGCCCAGCCGCTCCGCGGCATGTGGGATCTTCCCGGACCGGGGCATGAACCCGTGTCCCCTGCATCGGCAGGCGGACTCTCAACCACTGCGCCACCAGGGAATCCCTGGCTTTTTATTTTTAGAGAAGATCAGCTAGGGTTTGTGACCTGTATATCAGCTAGGTTGATATGTTTCTGAACCTTACTATTATTTTTTTTTTTTCAGTTTTCATAAAGGTCTATTTCATTATTGGCGGGTAGCGCATTTAACAGTTAAATACATTTAAATAATGTGTAAGTAACTGCACGACTGCAGCGTTGGTAACTAGATAGATAACCAATTCAACTAGAAACCAGCTAACAAGTAACTCTCTAAATATTTAAAATACAGCTCTTGTTTAGATCATCCTTTGTTTTGATTACCTTCTGGGGGGCAGGGAAAGCCAGCTGGTCACACTGGAAATATATAAGGCCAAATCTTCTGATATCCATTCCCAGAGGTTTCGTTCAGCTGGATTAAGCCTCCAGCTCCAGGGCAAGCCCAAGCTTGTGGCCTCCAGCATTAATGCTCTTCCCATCTACTAGAGCAGACAGTGTAAGCTACACACCAGGCCTCAGAGTCTGAGTGTAGCACACACTCCAACTAAGCTAGAGTTGTTGACTTTTGCAGAAATGGAAGCAGTGGATCCAACTGATATTTAGCTGCAATGCCAAAGCTAGTGCAGTTGGTTCCTGCAGTGCCAAAGCTACTGCAGTTGGTTCCAAGCAGGGTTTACTGAAGTGTCAAGATCTTCACATACTTTCTGATAAATTGACCCTCCAAATTCTGTCCCATCATTGATGTTAGTGTGTAGCTGGAAGTCCCCAGTCCTGTAGCCCACTGCAAAATTATTCCTTGTCAGCTTTGATTTGGCACTGTCAAAGGTCATCTGGTGCCCAGCAAGCCAGCCCTCATAACCAAAGACCGCTGAACCGTGGATTGCAGCTCCAGCAAAATCAAAGCCAACATCACAACCAAGGTTTATACACTCCCTCTTGTAAGAAGACTTGATTTTACCTCTTTTCTTTCCCGTGTTTGGTGAAAAGGTGGTATCGGATGTCAGTTTCAAACCTTGACAAATCTGGTCTTCAATAGCGATTCCTGTTCCCAGAGTGTTATCAGTGTTCCACTTTTCTGTGAAAGTCAGACCATACTCACACCATTTATATTTGGTCTCCAAGGTCCCAGTAACTTTACCAGTGTCTGTGTTAGATTAACCAGATGTTGAGAATTCCACCCCACTGCATGACTTTGTTTTCACATCTAGTTTCACCAGCCCCAAACCAAATCCTTTGTTGAAAATATCTCTGGCAGCTTTGCCAAGGTCAGCACATGATGGAGGAATACACGTTGGCCTCGGGCAGTTCTCTCGGTAGACCTTGGGAAAAGGTGATCTGGTGGTCTCCTGGGGGTAGGGGGCTGAGGCAGCTCGCTCGCTCGGGGTCGGGCTGCAGCTGCCAAGGTTGGAGGGCGAAGTTCATTATTAATATTTAATTGAATATTTGAGGAGAAAAACCATTAAAGACTGAATGTA